GTTTGGGAGGTTTTGAGCTACAAAAAAAAAGCATTTTGGTTCTGGGAAACATAGAAGCATTGCAGGAAATTATAAATGGTGACAATCTGGGCCTTAAATTGCTTCTTGAATGTGTGGACAGGATGCTGAACTTGGAGGTAGGGGTTCATTGGTCCAATTAGTTGCTCCTTTCAAATAAAAATTAGGTATTCTTTTAAAGTTTTAATTGCTTTTCTCTTTCCTGAGTCAAGAAAATAGTAGCCAAAACAAAAAATAAAAAAAAATAAAAATAAAAACCTTAATTCAAAATTTTAAAATTAGTCTTACAGAGTTGTTTTTTATTTGTTTTCAGAAATTTTAAAATTTTAGTTATGAAGTTTTGAGAGGAATCCTGTGATTGAGGTAGCTAGGTTTTTAATTCATTGTTTCTAAGATAATTCCGACAGTGACTTTGGAAAAATTTGACTTATAGGGAGGTTTTGAGTTATTGGGGTGCAAATGTAATTCATATCACTTATGCCTCTAACTCCACGATGCGCGAAAATAAATTCATTTGAACGAAACGATTATTACGTCTTTTTAGGAAGAAAAATACTGTACGGTAATGAATTCCCGGGAAATAAGCGTGAGGTTGATTTAAATTGGGTTTTCGTTTTCTGAGAAGTGACATCTATGTGAATGCATATCCGCTCCTTCCTTCTCAACTTCTGAAATCGTGCATTGGTCGCACACCTTCAACCAGAGGGCTTAAAAATCTGTTCAAGCTCTAGCTCCAGTCATACTCAGAAAAGTTTTGCAGACTCAAAAAAAGTTTTATTTCAAAGACTTCATGGCCGGTACAGTGTTTTAAAATTTTCTGCTTCATTTTTGCAAAAATTAAGTTAAGAACCACTGAAGCCCCTAACATAGGCGAATGTCTACAAGAAATGAGAAAGGGGAATTTGAAGAAAGGTTTCTCAGAATGAAAAATCAAAATACTGTAGTTTACTTCAGCAGGTGAAATTTTTTCTGAAGCTCTATATAGATAAAAGGCAACTTTTATTTTGTCATCAGATAATTTCAACTGCTGTTGTCCATCTGAAATTTCAGATAAAGGTTACAGACTTCTTTGCTATTTTTGATGAATTTATAATGATGAAGAAAATTTCCTGCGGACTGGCAAAGAACTTCTGCACTCTGCAGACCGTGGAGAACACTGGCATAATAGGACCTGCTGGGAATGGTTCAATCTTTCTATAACAGTTTCAAAGACTTAGAGCCCTAAATCAATGGATATATATGATCTGATAACATCAGTATTCACCTGATCCCGGAGATTCTCCGTAAGTCATCAACTGTCTGCCGGGAAATGTGAGCATCGCGAGTCCCACAGCGATCAGCAAATAAGAGCAAATTTCCAGTCTCGTCGTCTTTCTCTGCTCTTCAAAATTCCACAGCTTCGATATTCCGAGTGCCACGATCGGGATGAATAGGTTCAAAGGTGGCTACATATAATCGTAACATCAAACGTAATCGTTTTTCAATGCATCATAAACGAATGAGAAAATCTGCGGAAACAGTCTCTCCCAAAAGGATTTTGAATCTCGCCTCAGGAAAGTAGACATATTCGAAGGCGGTGTTGTAAATTTTGATAGTCACCACGGATCCCACGCCGATCACACCGAGAAGCAACAAAGGTGGTCTGGAATCCAGTTTTCAAAGAAAATAATCAGCAGTTCACATATATTTGAAGATTAAAATATAATAATCTAAAAACCAGAACTTGTTTTTCCGTCCTGGGTCTTTGGGTCCCTGGGTTGTGAGGTGTTCCAGAGTAGCAAGAACTCCGAAAAGAATGAAAACCAGGCAATTGAGTACCCAACTTCCTTCACTCATCATCATTTGTGGAACTGATATGAGTCCCTACCATAAAAATATTGGAAATAACAGAGAAAATACTATTTATAAAGAGACGTAAAAAAATTATTGTAAAGAACTCTCATAATGAACGTCATTGTGTAAAATACAGTGAGACCCCAAGATGCAGACTTGATTGGTGCATCAAGAGTGTCCCCAAGTCAAAATGTCCCTAAGTCAAGTCTTGTTTTCCCATAGACTTACATTATATAATTTTTAATTGGTGTTTTGTCAAAGAAATATTCTTCAGAATTCCCTGAAAAGAAATGTTTGCCCCTTGAATTTGAATTAGTGAATACATTTTCAACTAAATAAGAACATTTGGAGCATTGAATAGTATCTCTGTACTTTACATTGAAATTTTGGCATCTACAAAAATATCATTCCAGTGAAAAAGTAGAAGTCCCTCTATGCTGGAGGTAATGTTTCAAAATTATCTAAATGTCTGGTGAAGTGGTGAGAGAAATGCCAAAGAACTTTTCTTACATCAATTTTAGGTTTGGAAATATCTGTTTACTGTAATTTGGCCTGAAATGTATTTGCAATTTTATCGCAAAATGTCCCTATGTTGAGTCAGTGTCCTCATGTTGGGCCTTATTTATTGATTTTTTTTGGTAAAATAAGTGTCCCTATGTCAAATTGTCCGCAGGTCGAGGCGTCCACATGTGGGGGTCTCACTGTATAAGGAATGCGGATGTCCATGTGAAAAAGTCGGATAACAAACCGCTATAACAAGTTTATTGTCACATTTCTGCAACAAAATCCCCGTAAAAAAAAAAGTTACGGAGGTTCCCATTGGGAAAACGCGATCTGTATAACAAAACCCCGCCGTCATAATTACTGTAATTTGCAGGAATTGATGCAAGTAAACTTGGTGATTACTGTATTTTCTTGCAGTCTATTCTCCAGAAAAAAAAAATCAGTGGGAGCATACATTTATTGTCCAGAAAATTCATATGCATTATCTATGGGAAAATCACATACAGATTTATACGGATTCCGTACATAATAACATGTGAATCACCTCAAATTTTGCTTTGAGGGTTGAGTGTGGACAATTTCTGTAGGAAAAAGAAGAAGTCTCACCAAAACGTCACCAGTGAACATGTTGCCCAGAAAAAACAAGAGTCCTGCCAACACCAAACTGCTTCGACTTGGCAGCGTTTGTTGAGATTTCGAATCCATGTCGATTTTGAACGCTTCCAACAGTTTTATCCGCATATTGCCAAATAAATTATTTTTTTATTCGTCGCAAGGTTCGTGAGCATTAACGTTGTGACTGCATTTGTATCATGAGTGTAAGTATGAGCTCGTCTGATGCTGAAAATGGTAAATGTTTTTAAATCGTGCCTTATATTTACACTGCATGAAAGGACTTTCAAACACACTACAATATACAGGTAAATTTTGAAATCCATTTACGACACTTCACTTTTTTATTCACGTAAATATGGTGACTCAGAGTCAGAAGGCAGAATGCAAAACTGTGATAATTTTCGGATGATGACGAAGAGGGAATTGAATGCTAGGTTTTTTAATGTCCTTCTTAAATATATCTGAGCTGTAAGACTGAAATATCACTTTGAAACGGAAACAAATCAGAGTGGAGAAAATCTGATGGGAGCTGCTTTCAGCAGAACCGGAAACAGGAAACTCCTGCTCAACACTGGAATGCGCCATGCAATAATACTATACAGTAAGTCACGGATCGCGGGAATGCGACAAAAAAAAACATTCGAAAATAAGCGAGAAGGACATGAAAATTTCAATTTTTCTTTTTCCGATCTCTGGAGTAATGTGAGCGAAAAAAACGTGAACGCATGCTGTGCACTGTATTAAAGAAAGTTCTGAAGTTTCTGACCGATTTTTTTTTCATTGTACCATGGCTTAAAATCATTCTTTGCTCTGAGAAATAAGCCAAGAAGAAAAACTTTGATCGGGTTTTGATTCCCGGTAGAATTTAGAAAACAACTGTGCCTCCCCAACAGCAAGTGTCCCCATTATCAGTAGAACATATCTCTGCCATATGTTTGTTCTCATGAAATTGTCTTCTCAGTTTAAAGAAAATACGGATAAAATATCCAAAATTCAATTTTAAAAATACAGTAGCGCATTAAAAATTCAACACAATCCTTTTACGACATAATGTTCATATGCTACGTCTGCCAGGTCCTTGGTAATGAGCCAATTGCAACAAAATTTCACTTATACTGTACTGATGATCTACCATACAGTACAGTATGCTTGTATCATTCAAAGGACCTGGCCATCAAATACTTTATGTTTGATTAATTAAGGACTCTCAGAGGGAGTACAGTACAGTGGAATCTTGTTACAACAAATTCTATAAGAAAATGTATATCTTATAAGGGAGTATTTTAAAGCTCCTACCCAATAACAGCCACAACATTTGCTAGAGTTTCGTTATAACAAATTTTCAGCGTTAAGAAGCTTTTCTTGAGGTACAAATGTCTTCATGGTAATTAGATTTTCCTTCATCACTGAAAGTATGCTCGGTAACCTCTTGAAGTGTTGGTTACGCAAACCACTAATGGTACATATTCAAAGCGAAGAGGCTGAGAAGACATGAGAAATTTCCAACTGAGAAACGAGAGCTTCACAGAAATAAATCGCAAATCCGGCAAATATGTTTGACTGCTCGAGTTTTTATATTCAACACATCCAACACTCGGTATCCTTCGTATAAAAACGCATTTGCTCCAGGCCAATCAATTCTTGAAAAGTTCCAAAAAAATATATATGCGTGTTTTTGTGATCTGGGCGACTGAAACAAAACAAATACGCAGGGCAAAAAAAAATCAAAACTGATAAATTAAAAAAAAGACTGCGAGAAAATAAATAAAATAAAAGCCCAGGACAAACGAGAAACTCCACGCGTGGCCTCAACTTAAAACTTCATCAGGCCCAAAGAAAGTGAGACACGAACCTCAACTCTGATGAACACATAATGAACAGTCGAAATGATTTCACACTTTTCCCCACGTGCAACCCAAGAAAAAAAAATTAAAATAAGCAAACGCAAAACAAAAAGAAAACAGGTGAGCACACTCTGAACTCTCGCGACGCTTTTTTCTTCATAAAGCAAAATCACTTCTCATCCGGAAATTTTTCGCTGAAGCTTTTTTTCTTTCCTTTTTTTTTTAATGAGGTACGGAAGCCGGGTTCGCATCATCATCAGTTCAAAGGACTCGAGGCGATGGAATACGTCATACATCTCCCGCTCTCGGTTCACGGAGTTGCTTGATGCGATCACAAACTAAAGCCATACTTGACTCTTCTGGATTTCACTTGAGGGGGAAAAACTACGCGTTTTACTCCCGGAAAAAGGGTTTTTGAGTAGCTATCACCTACCGACGCGTTCTCAAAATTTCCCTTGTACCGTCACCGGTTGATCGTTCAACAAAATGAGCCTTTCAAAAGCCAAAAAAATCCATCACTTCAAGAAACTAGAAGTAGTTCGATAGAAGGAAAAGAGAGAGCAAAAAATGCAAGGGATAATTTAGGACGGACGCAAAATCAAGATCTTAACACAGCAAAAAACAAGCTTCCAAACACGAGGACAAAACGCGAGACACGGACACGAATTGGCAGAGTCAACTGGCTGAAATCAAATATCCTTCTCGAAAACATAAAATAAATACTTCCAATAACGCCAGGAAAAAAAAAAAAGAGAAAACAGCAGAAAAATTGCCGTGTAACCCCCCCGAGGGAAACTCGAAGGATTCTCGATATTTTTCCAACAAAAATAAAAGGGAGACAGAATTTTTCATTACCCTAAAATATCCCGCGTATTGCACGTCTTGAGATCATTCCGCCTCCATCTGGACTGACGAAGGAGACCCGACGAGTTAAACAATTTCATTGCTAGCCCGATTCAATGGTTGTAATGTCTGGAACAAATAATAATACATAAGTTACCGGTCAAAATTCTCAAAAATCGTATTTCAGGTTGAATTTAGGACCTGATTTGATCTTGAATTGCAAAATCAAGAAAAGAAAACGATGAAAATCGGTACTACAATATACTTTTAACGAAAGCTCGATGATTTCAATTTCTATTCATCAAATTTGTAAGTCAAACCCTGTTTACCGACGTCATTCAAAAATCCTGAAGGGGAGAAACAGTTTTCCAACTTCAGTAAACTATACTGTAAACCTCAATCGCATGCTTAAAAGTTGAATTTCCGTATAACTTTTTTCGGATGAAAAATTTTGTACGCTTTCACGAGTTTATTGTACTTTCATGACTTGAATAAGAATGCTATTTCCACAACGCATACCAAAAATTTTGCCAACATTGTTAAATTCACAGATTTGTTACAATTAGACAAGTGCCTTGAACTTTCATAGTGAGCTCAATCTTACTTTAATAAACAGCATATTAAAATAATGACGAACTTCACAGGATATTAAAAAAAAGAAAAGAAAGCTTTTGTCACTTTCCGCTCACCTCGAGTGAATGTTCTCCTTTGTAAGATTTTCGCACCAATGTGGGGGAGCCATCACTTGATTGCTCAATGGAGACGCTTTCTCGGTTCACCATGTAAGCAGGATTGTTGATTTCAATTCCATGTTTGGGACGCAAAATGAACTCATACACCGCAACGAACGCCTAAGAAAGACATCAATTAAGTCAATATTTTAAGAAGCTATCTTTTTCGCCAAAAATTATGCTTCGAACAATCTTAGGGATCTTCGCTGTAACTTGAAAGTTTTCAGCACTGTACAGTACACGTATTCAGTTCAGATCATGCTTAAAACCTAATTTGAGCAGTACTGTGCAATTCTGCTTCTTACAAGAAAATAATTGATAATCTGGAGTGTTCGCAGATTTCTGGATCGCACCAAAAACTGGGTGGCACTCGATCTGCAATCGGATCCAAGACGTCACCAATTTCAAGACGAACCCATTTTTCTTTCAGAAAATAAAACTGGAACGAATTAAAAGTCTTGAATTCCTAGTTTTCACGTTCAAGAAAGTTTCCCTTTGCTCTTTGCTCACCGAAAAGTTAATTTGAAAAGACATCGTTTCTGTTAATGGCGGAAAATTAACGAAACTCACTAGTGAACACAGGGCCATGGTGACCAAGACAACCAGACACACGATCCAGGCAATCGTCGACCCAGACACACCCGCCACGACTTGTTCCCCCGTGCCCGACATGGACGAAGAAGCCAGGTAATCCGGCTTGAGCAGGTTCGAGTCCGGGATTCGGTCCACGACCCCGTCCTCATCATCTCCGTCCTCATCCTCAGGCTGCACCTTGATCCCATTCACCGCGTTCGCAAAGGGGATCGATACGGGGTTCACGGGTTTCCCGTCTAAATAGCACTGAAAGTCGCCTTCGAGCTGCAACCCGTCGGGACACGCGCACGAGTACTTCTTCGGTCCCACAAATTGCGGGAATCCGCTCAACTTTTCCGCGTGGTTGACGCTGCTGCCACTCTTAGCCATGGAACGCTTTCTCCGCAGGGATTTCACGTGCATTTGGGACGAGTCCAGGGAGTTTTTCGATGCCAACGAAAGGGCCCAGGCGCCATCGCCGTGGAACTGCGGCGCAGGCAGACAAAGGTGAGAACAGTAGCCGTTGAAGTCCCCGCAAAAGTTCAGAGACTCCATTTGTCGATGCGAATGATAGACTTGTATGACGTTCGGTTTTTCCCCCTTATTTGAAGAAAAAAACACCACTCATCAATTTTTAGAAAAATTTTGAGAGAATAATTCGAATCATACCCATTGCTCGGGTGTGAGTTTCACTAAGTCGGATCCATTGAACTTTGAAGCCTTGAAAATTGCTCTCTTCTCCCAGTCAGACCAGAACACGTTGTCTTCGAAAACTGAGATCGAAAAAGGCCGAAGCAGGAACTCAGCGTTGTCCATGATAATCCTGAATTCGAAAAAATTACACCATCAAAACTCTCGTAAAAACTTCTGCGAGCGATGAAAACATAAGAGGCGATAAAAAATCTAAGCAGACGACGAGAATAGAAAAATACTCGAATATACGAATATCCATAACCGACCTGGGCGCAGAATAAAAATACAGGGCGTCCAAAAATTACAAAACGCATATAAAAAGTAAAACCTTCAGTTTCTATCTCAGGTGAAACCAACGCAGAACGGCATCGTAACAGTAAAGAATAAATCAATAAAATTCAAACAATCTTCCATTCGAGGAAAAATTGGACATTTCAAAAAAATTGCACTCAGAACCCAACCAGCAATTTTTACACACATGATACAAGAGAGTCATGATTAAGCGAAACCCAGCAAAACCAGAAACATACGAAGCAGAAACTGAAATAATACAGTTCAATACCTGTATTGGTTTAAAAAATGCAAAAAGTTGCGATTACGGGAGAGAGACATCTATGTCTACCCAACCCAAATGCTAAAATGGTGCTGTCAAACGGCTCAAACCCCATTAAGACGCCTCCGATAAGCCACCAGCCATGGCAACCTCTAATTTTTTTTTTTAATTCCATTACGAAAATAGCATTCGAAACTCCGTTGAAACGCCGCCCGCCAAAATTAATGAGAACTCAAATATGCTCATGCCAATTCATCTTGTCTTCAATAGTCCGCCTTTCAACAAGATTCAAGTTTCTGTGAGAGGTTTCCTATTAGAAATAAACATAAAAAAGATATTACCGGTAATTTACTTCTTGGGAACATTAGCTAGATTTAATTTAAACATCCCATGGTTATCTTGATTGTTTTCTAGACGAATTTATTTCATATTACTGTATAATATTTTCATATTACTGTACATAATTTGAGCTTTTTCGATAAACCTCCAACCTTGTTAAACCACAAAAACCTCACTAAAAATGGTGGGGCTTATGAAAGTTAGACTTATATAACTAAGAACTGCACCGCATAAATAGTACAAAATAGATTAAAAATATTTCCTGCGTGGCAACATTTGGACAGCCTAAATTTTTTTATTAATCTCGAGACCGTCTGTTGACAGTACCTTCTGTCTGAGCCATCAAGATTCGAAGATGAGATTTGGTGCAACTTGGCGTCAACCCAGAACAGACGCAATCCTATTTGATCCACCGCCAATCCGTTGGGCCACTCGATACCAGAACCGGTTCGCACAATTATTTCCCTGTGGGTTCCGTCCATGCCCAAGCGCTCAATCCTGGGTTTCATACCCCAATCTGACCAATACAACCATCCAATGGAAGGCACAACGACGATCGCTCTTGGTTTACCCCCAGCTTCTCCGCGGAACAAAGTTTTTCTATCACTGCCATCCAACCGCGAAACTTCAATCTTATTTTTTCCCGAACTAGTCCAGTAGAGAGTCTCGTGAACCCAGTCAACGGCTAATCCATCAGCTCTATCAATGTCCTGGGTGATGATCGGAACCTTGGAAACGGGGTCGCCCATTTTGGTCCTGTAAATTCTGTGGTCGTTCACGTCGCTCCAGAAAACCAGGCCGAGTTTGTGAGCGTAGTCCAGTGCGGTTGCGGACCTGGTTTCCGCGGCAACAAGTGCCATGTCACGACTGACTGAACTGTCACCGTTCAACTGCAATTTTCGAATGTCCACGACGTTGGCGAACATGAGTTCTGGATTACCGCCTTCGGAAACTCGGCATTTGTTCGGGTTCGTCAGATCCTTGGTGTAACCCTGGTAGCATTCGCACTTGTACGATCCTTCGAAGTTCAAGCAACTTTGCGAACACGTTCCCCACACTTGACATTCATCAATATCTGCAAGAACGAAAAATGATATTGAAGTTTATATCGATATCGGAAGATACGCATTCGACGAAAAATGACACAGGAGAAAAGGTCCAGGGATTCCAAAATGTCGCACTTCGATTTCAATAAATTGCCCGATTTATTAGCGAAAAAAAAAAGTTCGTGTCCAACAAATTGTATCTCCATCAGAAAAATAATTTTCATCAATAAAGCCACGATAAAGTGGAGCAAAATTGTCAGACTTCTCTCGTATTGTATTCCAATATACGTTCTGGTAGTCAAATCAATGAAACTACTGTAAAAACATGAAATTTGAATGACTAAAGAGAGAAGAAAATCAAAATTATCTGAGTCTTCTTCAACACGATAGCTCAACTCATTTAAAATACATCTCAGCTCAAAAATGAGTATCTCTCGGGGTAATTCCTCCAAAGGCATTATACTTTATTTACTATAGAAGTCTAGTACCAAATGCCCTTGAGCAAGTTTTTCAGTGTAAAATTTTAATCAAATTGCGTTCCCAGGTGAGAAGCGCACCAAATTGTTAGTGACTAAAACTGCAATATTTTAAAAAGAAGAAAATTCAAATTTGTAGATAGACATGAATCAAACCTGAACAAGCTGAATTCGACTAATTTTCAAATGTTTCCGTGAAAATAAGTTTTTCTGATGAAATTGGGAAAAATATTCCTCATCAGGATCAAGTATACAGATCACACCTAAACCTCTACAATGTTTGGTAAATTTATAATCGCCTATGACGCGCAACCCCTTATTTCCTGTAAATTTTGAGGAAAAACGGTGCGCTCGGTATACTCGAAGTAAATTTGGTACTTCTGGAATTAAGTCGCGTTTTCCAAGCAAGATCCGTCACGTAAAAGTTATCAGTCCCGCAAAACAATCCAAGACGAAGATAACACAACAGATGGGTCACAGCAGAAATATCATCACGGGGGTAGGAGCCTCCGCCATCTCATTTCGGTACATTACCTTCGCAGTGCGTGGAATTGGAGAGCTTGTAACCCG